TCAGTGGACCTTTCGGTTAACAAATGAATTACAATACATCTTTATTCCATTCCCTATTTTTTTAATGTTATGTTTAACAATAAGCAAGTTGTTTGTCAAATATATTTATAGCATAGTGTGAACACTTCAGAATTAATGTATAAGTGCTCATAATCAATATTTTTAAAAGTGTACTAGATTATTTATTAATGATTAAATTGTAAAATGCAGTAGTGGGTTGTTATTGGGTCAACATCCTCTGACTAGGTCAAATGCAGGATCCTAAAGCTAGCAGCGTTTAATGAGGTCACTGAGAAGTTGCTCCATTCTCAAGGGTACTCTAGCTTTCTCTCTTATGGCAGTTGTCACAAAGGAACAAAAACCATCATGTTTATAGGGGTGGATCCTGTCTCTTATACACATCTATAGCCACTCAATTTTAAAATTTCAATGCATATATTGAAATTAGCACTATTAACTTATATTCTGAGTATGATGTGCTTTCCCATTTTAAAAATTCTGGATCCCCCCCTGGTTTAACCATGCTCAATTGCGTGCTTTACTTGCTCCAATTAAAAGGCCAATTATTAATATTAATTAGTTTCTCGTCTTCGACCACTAGTCTTTTTGTTGCTGCTGCCTCTAATTTTATATGATACAGAACTGTGTGGTATGTCGTCCTGATGATGACGTAATTAATGTTGAAATATTGAATGCCAACACGATGGCAGCATTTTAATACTTTGAGTATGTATTATACTTTCTTTTCCTCCGTTATAAGTGCACCGCCTTGAAAGTTGAAATTGTAAATTACGAAAAGGAATGTAAAATATAAATAAAACAAGGCAAGAAAACATCAAATTAGTGATTTATACAATACTGTACTCATACTATTATACTTTGGTTTCATTAATTATTAGTACAAATGTGTTTTTTGGAAATACTTAAATAGGTAGAAGACTGAACATCAGGGCTTAATTTATTCTATTCGATAGCACCACGATATGAGATGCTTCTTTTTTTGTAATTAGTCTTTGGTTTGGGAACGTATACATTTGTTTTACTATCACAAAAAGTCATAGCTGTAATCATTGAAAGAGAACAAGTATGTTAAGTAAGATGGTGCCATATTATTTAAAATTTTATAAACAAGAATATTACTGTCTGACTCCCACGGTCAAGAAAAAAAATCTCAGAAACTAACCCATCTCTTGTAAATCCATGATTTTTGCATGTTTTTACCAATAGTCTGTCGGAAGTCACGAGACAATGGGTGTCAGCACGTGCAGCAAAATACAATTAGCTGCGTACAAGAACATTTTACACCGTCTTTCGGAAGCGGATTTTCCCAGCTTGGGACCCCTGCATTATATTATTGTACACCAACATGACAGTGGCAGTATAGGATGTCTATAGTTATTTACAAAACATAAAACTGTCATTTTTTAATATTATACAGAAATTCATACCAGTAACATCAAAAGAAATATGTATAAAATTTACATAAAACAAATCTATGTCTCTTATAAATATATAGTTTTATATACAAATCAGATTACTGTGTATCAGGTCAACTTTAAGTACATTTTTTTTTGTTCCACCAAGAGGTCCAGATATTAAAACGGTATTTCAAACATTATACATATAATAACAATATAAATAAAAATATAGATAAATGCTCCATCACAGTGTGAAGTCATATAATAATAATAACCATAATAAATATATTGAAGTATTTGTATAGCGTCTGTTTGAAATATATTTGTCATTTTCCACTTTATGTAAGAACGTATTATAAGAATATTGATTAAAGAATTCAGTTTTAAGAAGGGTCTTGAATGCTTCAGTATCAGATGTTATTCAAAGTTTAGATTTTCAACTTTTTTGGAACGGCAAAAAGAAAATAGTATGTTCGCCACTACGAAACAGATAACCTGATAGAGTTTGTATTTTGGAACATAAAAGTAGTTTGTGAGATGGATGAGCAAGATGCAGCATTGTTGTTAATTATTGGAATTCCTAAATAATTGATTACATTTCTATGAAAACCTTTACGGTAGACAATGTGAATAAATATTTGAATAAATTATGATTTTATATTATTAATTCAAGTTTAAGATTGAAATTTACAACAAGAAGTATTTTTGATGTACCAGATGTATTTATAAAACAGTACTGAAATGATAATATATGTTAGACATATATATGGGTAAAATTTGCAAACCAGACAAAATTATTTCACTGCGTTAGTCATAGGGCGGGATTAATCGCTACATATGCCAAAAGCATTCCGGATAATTCTGGAAAAATCGCACAGATATACTTAGCAGGTGGCTGGCCATTCAAGCAATTTTAGGTGCTCATCAAATGCTGTATAACGAAACTACTCTGGAAGTAATTACGTACGGTCATATTATGACAACTAGAATATATATCCACTTAGTGGCATGTTCTCTATTTACGTTCTGCACACTACGACCAAACACATTTTCTACTTTTGTTCCGAGTTAAACACATTTTCTACTTTTGTTACGAGTTAAACTCAGTAAGACTTAAGGTAAAACTTTGTTCATTCATGACATAGAAATTAAAAGTAGCTCGCTACGATTACAAAAAAAAAATCTGTAAAATTTGAATACAAAAATTGATTAAAATATGAAAATTACGTACAAATGTACCAAAACTCATCGTATAAAAAACATTTCATAAAATTCCATACAAAAATTCAGTAACATTGCTCATTTTTCAGAAACACAAATTATTAACTTGGACACAGAAATTTTGGAATTAAAACAAAATGTTTTCAATAATTTTTCACTATAAAATTATAGATAAACATTTTTAATTACCAATTTCTATGTTCAAGTTGATATGTTTACTTCAAAATGAGCAAGTTAATTTTATTTGGTATTTTGCAAATGTGTTTGAATTTTTGTCGTTGATAATTTCAGAATGTGTCTAATGTGTTACAAGCGATTAATTAATATAATTATAATTTGACCTTTTACTTAATGAAATTGATTCAATTATTTAATTATCTCACAATTGCAATTAATTTTTGTTAAAAATTTTAAGAATCAATCAATTGCTTTTGCTCAAGAACAGTTGAACCTCAGTGTAAAAATATAATATTTTACTTGGAATAACCAGAAAGGACTAATATTTCTACTTAATTATAAATCACATATTTTCAATGTGAAAACAACATTATTTGTAATTTATTTTAAGATATTACAAGCTTTAGTTGATGACTTGCTAATAATAAGAGTATGGCACTGTTCTGAGCGATATGAAATTTAATCAGGAAGGGGGAAACGAAGCATGTTTGATAAGTGGTTAGTAGGGCTTTGCTGACGACATAGCGTTTCCTTTCTACAGGTTGGTCGACGTTGACTTAACTTTATTGAGCACGCTTCTGTCGCAAATTACGCCTTTGAAAGGTCACGACTGATGCAAGCAATACTCGGCAGACAAATGACTATTTTTGTCTGGCTACGTAATTTAAGTCTGGTAAACAATTTTTTCTTAATTTTATTTACATACAATTTTTTGGATTGTTTTATATGTAGGCCCTATTATGCTGTCTATTGTGGGCAGAAGCAACCTTGGAGAGAGGGGGGGGGGGAGAAATTAATATTTTGGTATGATTATATTAATTTTGTTAGCTTTTTATTGAAAATTAGAATTAGGACACATACATAAATACGCTGTTCCTATATTCTTAGCAGAGTTGACTGACCGTAGTTCTTTGTAGTATTTTGTTTTGAAAGTTCATGTTGTGTTTTAAACATTGAGTCAAAAATAATAATATTCATAATATAAACCTAGTTCTTTTATTTAATTTCACTTTCAGTATTTCTTAAATTTTTAATTGTGTTGGCCACGCCCAACAGGGTCAGCATTTTAGATTTTTTTTTTTTTTTTTGACTACAAGGAACAGTATTTCTTTTTTCATGGGCTAATAAGGCTAGACTAGCCTTGTTGATTGGTACGCGATGCGAATCCAAATTTGTTGTATTATTTGTGTATTTTCTATTTTTTTAAGCGGAAACACATTTTTGGTTTAAAAAAAAAAGTTTCCTAATGACCTACCAATTTTTTGGATTTTCCCAAAACGTGGCCAACATGAAAATTTATATTTTTTTGGCCTTATATACTAATTATGAAACTGAAATCAGAATGGACCTTGTTAATATTTTATTTTATTAATTTATCAAGTCACATAGCAAAAGTAGTGCCAATAGCAAATAATAAATCATTCTCAAAAATGTAAGTGGAAGTCTCTCACAACTTGTATATAAATCATTAACACATAATCATAACTGTTTATCAGGATTCCTTAGGGGACTCCCTGTGAGAGGTAGAGGTGTTTTGTTTATTAGAGCAGGTTTGCTGAAAGAGGAGTTTTAGCTAAACCATGAAACCCTCCATCCAGGTTATGTGCTGTCTCTTATACACATCTTATGAGAGGGCAAGGGGACATTTTTCCCAGATAATTTTCCCCCACCCAATCATATCAGTTTCTTTAGCAAGTACCAGCAATGTGTTAATTTTCCCTTATTTCTTATTATTAAGACACTGCCAGCTTGACTCACTTCTTATAAGCCTTTTATGATGCCACTAACATACCCCCCACACTTTCCCCTTCCCCCTCAGATTTCAGTTGCTGGCACCACCACTGTTAATATTAGGGGCTTAGTCTCATTTATGAGTGGAATTTTTTTGTTTGGTCATGAGAATAGGAAATCCAAGATTGTAAATTAAAAACAATGGTTCAATAGACTAGAACTAAAATGAAAAGGATAATGATAACTTGAAGAACAAAATAATAATTGATTTAAATTTGGGCCACTGGGATCGGAATAATTACTATTACCAGGCTATGGCTCCACCTCTGAAAAAATTTATACACTTATGCTATTGTACCATACTTTTCAGGTTCATTAATATATAACCCATAGCGTTTCTAATCGCATAATTGGGCATAACCTCTACTGATTCTGTCAAATGTTTCCTTTTACCTTGTTGACAAAACTGACCCCAGGGAGCTGAGTTTACGTGCTATTGATATGTGTGAAGCACCCAGATTCCGTTTAGGCGTGATGTGATCTGGAATCACCTGAAAGTAAACATGTATACAGTATATCACAATGGCTTTTTAGTTTTATGCTGTACATTATTTAATAATACAGTAATTATATGGTACTGTAACTAAATTATAATTTATATTTAAATTAAAAAAGCATTATACTTTCAGTCCTCTTTATAAAATATGATAGGCCATTTACAGGAATCTAATTACCATAATTACCAAAGTTGTGAGTAAAAGTATACAATAAGGCCACATTCTCATGCTAATTACTGAATTTGAAATTTAGCAATAGTGTACTGGTTTTGGGATGACAAACCTCATATTTCTTATTATTAATTAAATAAAAATAATTTGACATACAAATCAAAATATTTCATAGGCAAAATGATTATTCCATATTTTTGCTAATTTTCACCAATCATGTGATACCTGTAGAAGCCCAAAAAAAAGAAAAAACAAACATTTATGATACAATAACTATTTGTATTTGTGTGTGTTGGTATGTTTGTGGGTTTGTGTGTGGGTTAGTTTGAGTGGGTGTACTATGCATGTGGGTGTGTATATAGAGAACAACTATCATTTTTGAAAAAGAGTTAGTGGAGTAATTTTTGAGTAGCAGGAAACAGGCAAAGCATTGAATGAGTCACGCTTGAGCTGTGACCATTAAGAGCTGCTGAACGTCAACGAATAGAAACAAATTTCAGTGCAGCTAAAACTTACTGCAAAGCCACACCCCAGCCACTAGTGCAAAGAATAGCAGTGCAATCACATTGTAGCTTATAACAAGGATTATTTTAGGTGAGTTTTTTTTTTTTTTTCTGTCTAGAAGTCTGCCAAACCCCTTGAGCATATTTAATCATTTATGCATTATAGGAAAAAGAGGGTAATGTAGATTTTTTATCTTTTTTTTTTCCCAAGATAATTTTCAGCTGAATTTTGTCTGATCAGATTTTAAATACTTGTTTAGACAAGACATCTGATAAGACAAATTATGTTTGACCATGTCCGATGGAAAATTCTGACAGATCTTATTAACTTTTAGATATTTTACTTATATTAGAGTTCAATCAATCATGATAGAAGTCTTTCAGATCATTTTAAGTTTAGTTGAGTAACTAGTTTTTGTTGCAGTGCTTTCTATTTATTTATTGTAAGATATTAGAGGCTTGCAGACCTCAAATGATATACATTAAGTGTACAACAGATGGGATGAGGATTTTCAAACCTGAACTTACCTAGTTATAAATCCTATACAACTCCATTCATTAAATTATCCCTGACACTAGGCAAGCAAACCAACAAGGCATAGTGCCAGGTTGAATTCTTTGCTAGGTATTACGCCTCCCAGGCATCAACAAATGCCACACTGGGTGTTTTGGTTTCCAATCTGTCACTATAAAAAGTACATTATTTATAAGTAAAGATACCAAACTGCTCCAAATAGTTAAAGTTTATTATACTGTAATTTTCCCTACGAAGTTTTATTAGGCCTCAAAACAACTGATATATTTAGAAGTGATCATTAATACTCAATATGATTCTTGTATTATTGTTACTATTATTAATATTGGAATATAACTTCATTATTATTTATGTGTTTTGACAGTTAGCTTTCTATATAGCAGTTTTAGATACAGTATGCGTTGCTGCCTGTGACCACTTAGCTGTTTGCTCGTACAATTGTAGTTTTGCTTTCTCATCTCATTCTCAAGTTATCATTTCAACTAGGGATCAACTCAAATTAATGTAATTTTAGCAGGTTCTGCTATAGCAGGGATTGTTTTGAAAGTCTGATTTTGTACTGAAAGAGTGAGTTATTTTCTGTAAAGTTAATTAGTTGTGACAAACAATGGTATGGTGAAAGAAATTATTCTCCTGTAGTTTAATATAGTTTCATTAAATGAGAGGGATGACAATAGTTGGCAAAGCTATTAATCGAAACCTGTAATGTTCCTTTATCTTTTGTACTATAATTAGAAATTGAGCCACATATCCAGTTTTATGAGAGGGTGGGTAGAGGTTATTGGAAAAGCTAGTGGTGTTTTGTGCTGCTGTGTTTATATTTGTATCAAAAGAGGAAGGATGTTAGTAGTTATAAAAGCAGCTAATATTGTTTTTGTATAATTGGATATTTTGCCTTTGTTGCATACATCCATATTAGGCCAGGAGACTATATAGGCCTACTGTAAGTACACTAGTTGGCAAATCTGATTACATATCCTGTACCTGTATGCAGTGGGAGGAATGGAAGTAGTTGGCAAAGCAAAACAGTATTGTGTAAACTGAAATTAAAGTAATGGTGATAACAGTTTTCAATAGGAGCATCAATAATCTATATAAATCTGAATTGAAGCGCTTGCAAACTTTATCGTAGATTAAGTATCTGTATTACTGTCTTTTCCTTTTTTTTTGTAACTAATTAATTTTGTTTGCCTTAACATTATTGTTGAGTTTGTTGATGGTACAGGTGGCCCTTCGAAATTTGTGACAGGCAAGGCAGGTTGTATTTCCTTGTCATGTTTTTCGGGGAGCTACTTGCCTCATCAGCAGCCCTACTCGTGTTTATTTCATTTTTACTTAAGATTCCCTTGTTTTGTTTCGTAATTTTTTTTTATATATATATTTATTTTTTTAAATTTTTTTTGTACTTGTAGCTAAGAATTTTAATTCACTTTGAACGCACCAAATGATTTTGAGTGCCACCGATCTAAAGGTGTATGTTCTAATAAATTATTGATTGATATACAGTAGAACATCCCCTTGGGTGGGAGTGATGGCAATAGTTTGCAAAGCCTGTATTTAAATGATAGTGTTTTCTATGACTAATAGACTGATTTGGTGATGGGCGTCTTGGGTCTTCGCCCCGCGACTATGTTACGATTTCTGGGCTAGCTATTAAAGGCTTACGAAGAATCACATAAATTTCAAAGCATACACTGCAAGGTGAATGCTAGCATAGGTAAATAAACACTATTTTGAACAATCGTATTGCCTTACCTTACCATTTATTTCTCACGATAACAGTGGGTGGTTGTTTTCGAAACCATATTACCTTTTCCTATACTTTTACACCGATTGCACTGTAATTTTTTCCGAGGTTATACATCACATGTTAACAAACATCGCCAAATCGGTCTATTATGTGCCTCATAGTCTGCTACTGTAGGTATAATAAATGGTGAATTCTCTCTTTTTCTATTTATCCTTTAGTTGTTGGTTAGAGATGTTTCCCGGATAATATGTAGAACCATCATTATTTTTTCTTGCATTCTAGTCTACTCTTAAAAGCATGTTTTAGTAATACATCTTGGACAGTATAGTACATACATAATATGTGAGTGGTTTGGTTGAGTGGTATGATTGTGTTGAGACATGGAAGTAGAGATGATCTTATCTCGTGTTGCACCGCAGTTCTGTTGAGGCGATCTCTTGTTGTACAGTAGTCAATGAGAGCAATTCAAACAATTTGAAGTATGTTTTGAAGGACACCGGCTTCAATAAAAATAAGTTTGGCAATAATCTGACTCATAAATATTCATAAATTAATACAGCCTAGCTCTATCTTATGCATGGGCGCCTACATAACCTTCAGATAAAATAAAAACAGTTTAATTGGCATACTGTAGGTTTGTATGCTTTGCTTTTATCCTCTCCATGCCTAATAGTTGCATTTTTGTATATAGTAACTATATATGTATATAATATCTGTCTCTTATACACATCTAGATGTGTATAAGAGACAGATATTAATTAAGTGCTCAAAAATATATATATATTATTATTTATTTTAAAGTTATATATACATAAATAATACATTTGTATATACATATATTTATATATATTAAATATATATTACACATATATTTATTTAGCAAATAACTCAAAATAATTCTATTTTATAAACATTTCAATTTGTAAATTGGATCAGTGAACTGGATAATCTATTTTAACCCTTAATATCCTTTAAAAAGTGTAATTCTCTGTTTTAATTAAACTTTTTTTCTGTCATTTATGATTATTAAATGGGAAAGATGAATTACATTCTAGCTTGCAGGCTAAAAAAAAAACCACAAGTGTGTGGCAACGAGTCCTACAGTTGATGTTTCAATGTTCATTGGACTAAACATTCTGAACATGTCAAAAGTCATATAATAAGTGCTTTAAAGTACTTTGAAAAATGTAATAAGTGTCTTCTGGGCGGACAGATTACTTTAGAACTAACACTGACTAGAGTGTTTCTTTCTCTTTTCAGAAACATCAGAAGAAATAAAGAATAAGAATGGCTGTAGAAGGTTGTGGAAAGTGTATTAAGTATCTTGTCTTCATATTTAATTTGTTGTTCTTCGTAAGTGAATATTTTTCTTGTTAAGCTAAGCACACACTGAGTCGTACATCCGTTGGCCGACAAATCCAACTCCACTTCTTGTGAACTCTAGGCGACACAACACCATCTACCGATTGTTGGTGGCAGCCTGAACCGATCGTCATTAAACAACGATTGGTTAAGCGCATGTTGTGGTGTTGCTTTCTCTATAGAATTGCATCGTTCAACGACCGTTGGACACAGTGAATGCAGGATACGAAGAACATGAATAAATTGATTGTGGTTAATGAAGTTTATGGGTTATTAGATAGGCCTAACCTCCTGGTAGACATTTGTATAATACAAATATGTATTGTAAACACCATTATGAATTATTTTGCCATTGCCTAAATATTTATTTCACTTCTCTCATAAGTCAATCACCTTTGTTATCTCATAACTATTATACCTTCCTAGGCCTTGCCTAGGACGGTCTAGGCTTTATTCGTGTTTTTATAACCAGCACTGTAGAGTGAGATTTCTAGGTTCGCAGTGTGCGGTTATAGCTTGGCCAACTGCAATGAAATGTTCTATCGCAATGTAATTGTAGTAAAATCACATAAGACGCAAAAAATTGAAGGCACTATGTCGATATAGTGATCAGTTGAGAATAGGAAAATTCTGTGCAAATGGAAGTGATGGTGTCACCACTGATTTATAATTAATACGGAGTAACCCTTCCATTAAAGATATGTGAAATTCTTATATCATTGTCTTTAGGTTATTAACCAATTATATAAATTTTCGTTCTCAGTTTTCTGGCATCGGTATCTTAGCAGGGGGCGCTTACCTAGCTAGTCAACAGGGAGGGTATGGCACCCTGCTCCCCAGTATTCCCGTGGCCAGTGCAGCAAATCTTCTTATCGCTACCGGAGTCATCGTTCTAATCGTCTCCTTCTTTGGATGTCTCGGAGCCTACAAAGAAAACCCATGCCTTCTGATGACGGTAAGTACAAACAACCGGGACAGATAAACGATGAAAGACTTTGAAGAGTGCACTTTAAAAACACTGATTAAATTTTCAGTTTAACACGTACTCTACCAAAGATGTGAGATCACGTCAAACAGAGTTCAATCGGGGCACCGTGACGCAAGTTCACATCCCCACTTGTCTAAACATACCACTATTGTATTATACGTAAACTCGCTGGCACTGGTCGTCAGAATATGAACTCTCACCCTGGAGTTTCAGGGAAAAGGACCCAGAAGTAATAATCTAAAAATAACTACCGTGTGTTTGTTCGTGTTTCACAACAGTTGGTGTACACGATTTTCATTATGGTGGCGCCCTTTATGCGTTGGCGTATAAAATGAAACTAGAAAGAAAGGCTTGGCAGTCAACACGCCTTATTAACCACACTATCAAATTTTATTTGACAAATAACATCAAATGCCATATGTGGGTGTAATATGATGTCATCTTGCCCATATATGGGCGTATCACGTCAATCTGTCGCATTAAATTTGATAGTGTATACAGTATCCAATCACTTTGACTGACAGATTTCTTGTTCATTTCATGAAAAATTGAAACAGTTTTTCAAGGTCAGTAAATACTTTTTCAAGACTGAAACTTTGTTATATTTCCATGCGAAACGCATTTATAAAGATTACGGTATCTTCAAATTAGATGAATGCTGTGAATGATTTAAGAATACTTATTTATTTAGCATTCCAATATACGTGGGTTCCATTAGTGTTAATTTTCTTTGAGAGTTTCTTATTATTTATGTACTGTACAAAATGATGTACTGGGAAAGAAATTATAGTCTTCTCTGAAAGCTGTGGTTTTATGTATTTATTTATTTATTCTTTCTTTATACTGAATATACACTTCCAATACATTGTACTGGTTTCCGAAAGTGGTTCAGTTCTTAACTACAAAATTTCAAAAACAGATATGGTAACCAAAAAAAGAGGGATAACTTAACTACAAATTCAAATAG